TTGTTCCGCTTCTTAAGACTGATGACCTCGAAACATCAACAGAGCTCTACTGCCATGTTGCTAGCTTAGAAAAACCAGGCAGACTGATCTGGATAGGGAAACCTATGGTAATGGATATGCAGCCATATTTTGAAATGCAAATATCCAAAATTGACTGTATGATGGAGGCCTCTGAAGTATTCAGTGTTGCTGAAAGTGGGAATGCAATGGGGAAAATGTTAATTTCAAGCGTCAAAGTGCGATCACCAGTGCAATGATCAGCTGGTGTAAGACATTTGGCAACTGTACCAAAAATGTTCTTCCGCCCGAGCAGACCAATCACAAAAGATTGGACGACTTCCGGTTCATGTTTCAGCATGCTGACTCTGTAGAAATGCTCTGGATAGTATATTTGAACAAATGGGAAATACCATGATATATTGTCCTTATAATATGAGTTTGTACATCTAGGTACATTACAATGGACTTTGATCTATGTTTACCTCAGAAAACACTTTGGAAAAAGCTAGTGAACCAAAGACGGCAATGTTTACCGCAGTGACTTCAAGGTGCCGAGATATAAACTTGAAGTCCATGTGCGTCAGCCTACACAGCCAGAGGAAACAATGTGCAATTGTCTCATGTGTCATCCATGACCATCTTCCCGAGGGAAGCGAGTTAACTGACTATTAAAGTCCAGTTTCCACCTTTGCCGAACTAGGCTGGTATTATGGAGTTACATTTTGGCTGGACTAAGGAGTCTATGCATAGTCCAATCAAAATCGCGCACCGAAATCGAAATCCGGTTCATAAAGTGTCATGCAGATTTCGGTCGACTGCAGGATTTGCAAAGCATGTGCACCGCTAACTCGTTGTCGGCAGATATTTTCTAAATCTTTTCATGTTTTTAATCAAGGTGCTCACGTGATTTGATGCACTTCACGATGTAAGACTCGTTTTATCACAATATAGATCTTGATTATCGATCAGATCGTCTTGACTGGGCGCCGTCGTTTTGTTTGAAGCAAATGCAAGTGATACGAGAGTTTGAATCTGATTGGTCAATAGGAGAGGCATAGAAAGGACATAACTCGTAATAGCCCTGGTGGCGCTACGATCGAGCCCAGGAATTCCAGCCAAGTTCGGCAAGGGTGGAAACTGGACTTCTAAAGTCAGTTAACTCTCTTGCCTCGGGAAGATGTCCATGACAGAGCCATTGGCAACTAGAGCATATTTTGTTAATACTTACAGACTTTTCATATCCTTATTATCATGGATAGCTTATTGAATGGTGTTTAGTTTGATCAGTTGATGTGATGGCCATGTTGTGAGAAATCAGACAAAGGCTGATCAATAAAATGGGTTTGTATTATTTAACTGATGCAATGTTACCCTGGACTGCCAGAATGCCGTCAGTTTAAATATGTAGAAAAACGGCCAGGACAATAGTTTTGCATGGTGTGGTCATCGTGCCAGTTCATGCTATAGTTGCAGACTGAACAAACGTTGCTATTCTGAACTATATCATTGATTACAAAACATGTATTAGTTTCAGACATTCAGAATATAAATGACAGTTTTTGAATGAAGTTGCTATATGGAACAGTTTAAGATTGGTGCCATCTTATATGTTACATGTTGTCATAGTTCACACTGAACAGGGAACCAGCGACAGAAGCGACATGCTGGACCACTGCTATTACCCTTGCAATAGAACAGCTATTTCTCTTTGGGTGCAAAAGATCTCTCACTGACCTGCTACTAAAAGGAACTATTTTACTGTCAAAAATGGTCGCCACCATTTACAGTTCCAACACAAATCTTGTCTGTTCATGTTGATTTAGTTGAATGTTACAGCAAGTTGACCAAAGGGGGAATTTAATCAGCCAACCATTCTGTCATTGAGACCGTGCGGGTGGAACGTTTTAAGCTCAAATATCCACCTCAGTTCGAGTGCTCTTCTTTTAACTGTGGTGTCATTAGACTCAGGGTTTTCCTTGAGCTGTGCTATGATGTTATATCTAACATCTTTAGTGCTGTGATCATCACTATTGAAGTGATTAGCTACAGGTTTGTCTCTCTTGTAGCTGATGTCTGCAAAGTGTTCTTTCAGTCTAGTTTGAAATTCTCTTTTGGATTCTCCGACGTATTGTTTCTTGCATTTGTTGCAAGTTAACAAGTAAACTATGTTTTTACTTGTACATTCAAACTTGTGGGTTTTGAATGTTTTGCCTAATGTTGAGCTGCGAAACGTGTGTGTTCTGCCTAGGGAGTTGCAGATTTTGCATCCTTCTCTTTTGCAACTCTCATTAACGAAGTTGACTACCTTGCCGCTGATTTGCGGTTTGGAGGGTGGGTAGTGTAGTACTGTCCTGACAAGGTAATCCTTAAGGGTAGGATTCCGTCTATAGGCCGAGACATGGGGAATTGAGAAGCAACTTTTGCAAGTGTCAGAACCGGTGAGTAAGTGCCACCGATTTCTGATGATCCTGTTGAGCTCCATGTTCAATGGATTGTAATCGCTAATAAGCACCTGTTTCCTGATGGGAGCAGGTTTGGGTTTGGTTGCTAAGAGTGATTCTCTATTGCAAGCGTCTGCCCGGTGTTTATTTTGTTGTAGTGTTTTGTTAGGGTAACCCCTTTTCAGGTAGTAGTTGATGAGATTTCTACTATGTGTATCATAGTCTGATTCAGAGGAGCAAATTCTCTTAAGTCTCAGGAATTGGCTGAATGGCCCTTTCGTTTTGATATGGCTTGGGTGACAAGACGTGTACAACAGGTAGGAGTGTGTGTCCGTGGGTTTGATATATAAAGTGAACTGCAGTTTGCATTTCTGTTTGTTGTACGAAACCCACGTGTCCAAGAAGGCCACTTTATTCCTGGAAAATTCTGCGGTGAATTTAATGGAGTGGTGTGCATTATTAAGAAAGTTAATAAATGCAGCTAGGCAGGTTTCGCCTAGCGTCCAGATAATGAAAATGTCGTCAATAAATCGGGCATAGAAGTCCGGCTAATCGAGATACCCAGATAGGAGTTGAGTTTCTAATTCTCCCATGAAAATGTTGGCATAGGACGGGGCGACTTTCGTCCCCATGGCTGTGCCTCCAACTTGTAGATAATGTTGGTTATTGAACACAAAATTGTTATTGTGTAAAACGATTTTTAGGAGAGAGAGTAAACCAGTGGGCGAAATTTGCCAGTCTGGTTTAAACTTACGAATGGCTTGTGCAACGGCTCTAAGGCCTTCGCCGTTTGGAATGTTGGTGTACAGCGAGGTGACATCCATAGTAACAAGTAAAATGTCTCGGTTGTTGGGGAGATTGAGTGATTCTAATCTCTGTATAAAGTGTGTGGTATCCCTGAGGTAACTGGGATATCTGCTGACAAATGCTTTGATGTGTTCGTCTACAAAACTACTGATGTTTTCGGTAGGTGTGCCATTCCCTCTGATGATGGGACGGTCACACAACAATGCCAATCACGCATTGTGACGTCACAATCACACCAACCCTGGCTACTTGACGTCATCACGTCATGACGACAACAGTCCATCGTCAGTAAACAATCAGCCAAACAAGATGTCTAATTCACACTCTTGCGCTCTATGTGGGAAGAACTACACCCGTAGGGATAGTTTGCGTCGCCACTTTAGCGCCACTTTAGCGCCACCCACTCTTCAACACGTATCGTGTGCATAATCTGCACTAAAAACTTCAAAAGGCCCGACGATGCCAAGGCGCATGTCAAGCGAGTACACGGCCCCTACCTGGAGCCTAACTACAGTACGGGCGATTACTTAACCAAGAAATCTGAAGGGCAGCCCTGCCACAACAACAAAAATGTGAGTGAAAGTCTCCACACCACCACCTATCAATTTCCATTCCCATGGATACCGGTGCCACCGTTCACCAAATGGGACCATTTTGTGATTGCAGGCGGCGACCTCGACACTGAGCCGTGGAAGGTGTTCCCTCAACAAAATCGGGAACACCTAAAAAAAACAAGCCGGTAATATAGTCGCCCCACTTGATACCATTCTAGAAGATTTCATGGAACTCTAACCCGGAGTCGCCATAAGGACATTCTTAACACCAGTGACCAGCTCACTCAACAATAAGTTTGAAACTCACCAAGTGTGCCCCACCGATGTCCTTCCTCCTCCATTCGGGACTCATTATTTACAACTTCCTTCTCTTCGTTGTTAAATAATAAAACACAACACGTGTTTATTTTAACCCTTTATTCCATTGTTTCGTTTTTTTCTTCCATAGTATGTTACATCCAACATACATTTTCTGACATTCACATTTATTATGTTCACCAAGGACACAATCTTGAACCCTTGCCTTCTGAGAGCTTTGCTAAAACATATATATATAAACCTAGAACAAATCAGTGTTCTAGTAACGACCCCCACAACCAAATAGGCGTCTGGAAAAAACCGGCGAACCTCCGGTCACCTCCTCTCAAACCGGCGACCACTTTTGACCGCCACCGGCGACCAACCCAGGCCACCCTCACTCACCCGGCAATAACACCGGCGACCAAAAATAACTTCTTTTTTCTGTACCATAAGCATACCTAAACCGGCGACCCACCGGTCTATGTACACTTTCCACAGTTTCAAAGCCACCACCGGCGACCACTATAAGTCACGGGAGCTCACGCTTAATCGCCAATACCGGCGACTACATTTTACGCCACATCACCGGCGACCTAATAACGACGTGTCACTATAACACACCACTCAGCCGCCATAAAAACAACCAATGACAGGCTTACACATCATGGAACAAACGACTTCGCTTGTTTATTCAGGTATTTAAGGACGCACACGCCCCTAAGCAATCAGTCTGATGAGCACAAGTCGTGCGAAACTAGTCACTACTACCATTGCTACTTTTAGCTTTATATCTACTGGTGAAGCCCCCACCAGTCAGTTTATTTAGTTGAATGTTAGTTTAATTATTAAGCTGAAAAGGGCACTTACTTTAAGTTATTAATCAAAGCTTTTCACTTACCTGGAAACCTATTGGAAACTTTGCAGGTATATTAAGCCGTTCTTTCAATTTCTTTCTGCAATGTGAAAAGAAAAATAGTCATAGCATTACATTGTCAACTCAGTAGTCTTGGATATATAATTTCACTCATTCATCTCAACAGAGGTAAATGAGTAAATCAGACATACTGACTGTCAAGGACAGTAACAGAAAGATACCCTGTCATATTGTGTTGGCATTGTTCCATGTAGGTTTGGTGACAAGTTCGCACAGTGAATTATGAAATCTTAAATAACTGGTCCAGCTCTATTGAACTCAATAAGCAAAGCATGATTCTGGCTCACTAATACGACAATTAAAAGCATGCTCTTCGTCTGGTGTGACTTTGTGTTTTGGAACATATCTACAATTCCATGCTGAACTCACCAAATTCTACCTATATTCATTCTGGACCCCTAATGTTGCTTAATGCAGTCCTATGACTCAATCTTCATTAAATGAGAGTTACAAGCACTTCTGGAACAATACTGCTTCCTTTTGGGGAAAATGCATGCCCAATGCAGTGCAACTTCTATGACAATAGGTACCTTGTAACAAAGTTATCATTGTTGTACCCTGACTTGTATGTCAAAACGCAATGACTGCACAATGGCACAACACACATCTATACTACAAGAACTTTATTGAATAAAACATGTTGCTCACGTTTTAATTACATATTGTAAGTGAAATATATGCCCTAAAAAAATCTCAGAAAAATTAATTCTTACAGACTAAATGTTTTGTGTTTGGGCCACATTTCTGAGGTAGAATACAGAGGGTAAAACACCAGATCACTTCAGCTGTATATAACATTTCGTGTGTATGCTTTAGAAGATTACACTATGCAGTGCTGACAAGTCTTGTAGCATTCACAAACAACGTGTGAATGTAGTGGCTAATTCTAATGTTTACATTTGGAGCTTGCTGGGGTTTATCTTTTTATAATACTATGTCAGCCTTTTTCAATTCCAACATTCTTGTATAAAATATGGATGGTTATTTTTTATCTGATTAGTAAGATTTTTCAAAGTGGATGAGTGAGTGAAAGAGTTTGTTTGAGCAGTAATCCAGTTATATCACGGCGTGTCAATGTGGGAGGATCACAGGTATCTGGTGTGCCAAAGCGACGCAATTAAGCACAGTGTATTGCGGCGCCTTAGATAACTGGGCCACCCATGCTCCTTCAAAGTGGTTGATGGCACATAGAAGCACTTAAACTTGGGATTTTCTATAGTAATCAAGTCCACTATATTGGATTCACTGTGTGGGAGTCGCCATTGCGCTGTCATTGTCTGGGGCTTGGTTCTGACTGAAGACCCAGTGCAACAGGATGGCGCAATGCTATTCAACTTTGAAATAGAACTTGCCAAGCCTATGGTTTCTTTAATAACAAAGTAATAAGCATTTCCGGCATCAGTTCCTGAATTAGGAAAACACATGCCTAATATAGAACTCAGAAATAGTAAAAGACTTAACAAGATGATAAAGTCATTGATTTCACCATGCCCTTTTAAATATGTTAGTTAAATAGGACAGCACTCTCAATATTCCTGCCATATATCATGGCAACCTGAAAATAATGGAGTCTGGACCAAACAATCCAATGACTGACACTATGTTCAACATCAGGGTGCACTGAGCCTGACCCTGACCCTGAATCACTTATTACAACAAGCATTGGCTGGTGGGAATCCTCACAAGACTGTATGATGTCTGACATGTCATCAAGATACTGAACGGTTGGAGTTTTACCCCGGATAGAAACTCTACAGTCATCAGAACCTAAGTCCACTTTGCTGTCTTGGAAATGGAAACAAAAGCAAACATTTATATACATGTATGTCAAACTACTGAATGTCAAAAGGCACCAGCTCAGCACTTATCTGATGTGTATTCAGAGTTTACAAAAAAATATTTTACGGTTTATGTTTGTTTGTTATTTAATGCCACATTCAGTAAAATTCAGGACAATGAAGTGACTGATTTTGTGAGCAACAATCCATGCTATCGGGGTTTGACATGCAGTCAACCAAGTCACCAAGCCTAACCACTCAATCCATTTGGTCGCCTTCACGACCATCATAGGCGGCTGCAGACTTAATTCTAAACCAACCTCCTCACGTGGTGACAGTTTATGAGTTATGGTCATGAAGTGAATAGAAATTGTCTACATGTAGCTCATTGCCACGCACAACAGCCACATGTTTGTGCCGCCCCTTACAAATCATCATATTACCAATGATGAGTCCAGATTCACTTCACATTTCCTTGATAAGCGTAGTCCTGTCTGGCAACATCAAAATAAACGTCAACCTGAGACCCCGAGTCTGACCCCAAGGACCATAAAGTCTCAAAACTTGCTTGACAATAGTATGTCCACTGATGCGCTAAAACCTTTGCCTCATATGAGACAATTTGTATACATGACCCTTTGCTAGAGAAATGTTGGATATTTTTGCGAGATAATTGTGTTGGTTAGACAACCACCAACACACAAGACACCTCTGTCATTCCATCTGAGGTTCCAGTTTGTAGACTGAACTGGACTTCCATCACTGAGATCCTGATATTCCTTTGGAAGATGGTATCTTTGAACATATTTGACCACTTCAATTTCAACATCTTTAAGCTTGTCTACACTTAATGGAAATGGGAGATTTCAAACAGGCTTTTCTCCTTTGATTCCTTTCAATAACGAGGAATGATGATTATTGCTTAAGAAGTCTTGAAGTGGCGCATTCAGAAGGAACTTGCACCAGGCACACCTTTGCCTCCTTTGTCTGCAGGTTCTCATCTGATACCCACAAAGCTTCTAGTATGCATGGTCAGACACTCTCATCTTGCTTGATGCAATCTGGTCCATAGGTCCACAGTTTCACTACGGGTATCTTATCTGCCCCTAGGCCTCATGATGTATACTACTGTATTTAAACTAGTTCCAACAAAACTCCCATTATCAGATGATGATCCATCACAAATAACACTAACTCTGCAACAAATGGCAAGAGCCATTGTGATTCATTCTTGCTGTCTGACGAAAATAAGGTCCAATTTGACTGATATCACTGCAGCCAACAATTCAAGATGTGGTATGCCAATTTGTTTAATGGGTGCCAATCTTGATTTACCCATTAAAATGGTGCCATGAATCAAGCCATCAGTTCATAATTCTTAGATATGACACAGCACCATAACCAACCATTGAAACATCTGAGAGTGAGTGAGTGAGTTGGGTTTAACGCCGCTTTTAACAGTATTCCAGTTATATCACGGCCTGTTAGCTTAATGTGGGAGGAAAGCCCGAAGTGATGCCGGTCTCAGACGTTGACCACTTCAGTGAAACCCACGAGCACGGGTATGGTGCTGACAAACCTAGAATCATAGGTTTCTGGCGTGTCCAAGGGACGCAACTCTGCACAGCGAATCGCGGCGCCTTAGACGACTGGGCCACCCGTGCCCCCCGAAACATCTAAGAAATGATGAAGTTCACAATTCATAATACCAAAGTCAGAAGGTGTTATACATCTTGCAGTTGTAAACTACTTGATAAAAGGTAGTTTCTGAAGCCATGTGAACCATCTATCAGCATTCACCTGCTCCAATGTAGCATCCCACTCTTTCTTCAATCTGCATTCCTCCTGGAATATTTGTTTTGCCTGAAGAACAACTGGGCACACAAAGCCAAAAGGAACAGAGCTGATTACACTTATCAATCCTCTTCTGGTAGCTGGCCTTTTTTTGGGTAAGATTTTGAAGCCAAGCTCATCTAATTCAATGTTCCACTTTGATATCATTTGATTGTCAGCACTTTAGGAGTACCTTTAGCATACAGAACACAAGTACTTGTGAAGACAATCTCTGTCGAAGGTCATTATGTTGAGGGCCAGTGGGTGTTTGGAGGTGTTGAGACATTGGCCCGAAACAAGATTTTTATGGTACCAGTAGAAAGACGAGATACTGACACTTTTATTCCATTAATCAAACAGTGGATTTTACCTGGTTCCATTATCATTTCTGATAGTTGGAAAGCCTACAATCCTCTTGATTCTGATCAGATTATACACATCTCACTGTCAACCACTCTGAGAATTTCAGAGACCCCATCACAGGTGTACATACAAATACAATTGAAGGCACTTGGCTTCATGCGAAGCGATCCATGAGTAAGTATGGCATTGTCAAGTCACTCTTTGAATTGTATCTCAATGAGCATATTTGGAGAGGAGGAGATCTATTTGACGCTTTTCTTCGTGAAGTTTCCTGCCAGAATCCGCTCTCAAACTTACCTGGATCCATTCCACACCTCTTGCTGCTACCTCCACCCAATGACTGAGTACTGATCATGCCTTGAATGACGTCCAGATCCATGTTTGGTATTCACCAAACACCAATGCAATTTTTGTCGATTGTTGAATTAAATTCATGCACATTTGTAAGTGTATGGTATTTGTGTGAACAATCACTGCATTGATGCAAGCAAGCAAGCCAGCAAGCAATAAAAAAAATCCCTGTGCCCACACAGTGGCCTCTCTCCTAATAAAAAAAAGTCTCCCCACTTCCCCAGTAATGTTATTAATGTTTAAAAAGGTACATCTAAATAATTAACACAGAACATTATTTTTTTTAATTTTCTGAAATTATCTTTTTTTAAATATATTTTTTTTTTAAACAAACATAAATAATTAACACTAAATACATTTAAAAAAAATAATATTACGTACGTACTTAATGCGTTTTACAGTCCAATTTATTAATTTTACATGGAAAAACAGACACAGTAACCTAAAACAAATGAAAAACATTTTAACTTTAAACTGGTCTTTGTAAAACAATGGGCGACCGCAGGCTATTTTGGATAAAATTTTAATGAAAACTAACATTACTCTTACAATTCACTCAATATGCCCACAGGAACAATGTTACAGTGACAGGAGTTTACACGCACCCGATGACCCCAGCAACCTTGTTGCGAGGCTGACGTCACAGGGCATTGTTCCAGCCGTGTCTTTTGCATGCTCCCTCTCCAAATTACGTCATTGGGTATTATGACGTGTTTTTAAAGTTTGTGGTACTGCATTCTAAAGGTAGGCTGCACTTTGCCATACAGATATATTCAAATGATACATGCATAATACTTCAAACATAAGTCTGCATAAAAGTCACTTTAGTGTAAATGTCAAACATACTGTACAAATGACTTTCACTTTCAGCTCCACCCCAAGTATGACATCTATCAAGTTTCATTGACACACAATATTGAGTGAGATGGGTTTAACAACGCTTTTAACAGTATTCCAGTTATATCACGGCGTGTCAGCTTAATGTGGGAGGAAAGCCCAAAGTGATGCAGGTCTCACACATTTACCACTTGGGTAAAACCCACGAGCACGGGTATGGTGCTGACAAACCTAGAAACATAATCAAGGCGAACCGGGATTCGAACCCACAATCATAGGTTTCTGGCGTGCCCAAGGGACGCAACTCTGCACAGCGAATAGCGGCGCCTTAGGCGACTGGGCCACCCGTGCCCTCCCATAAGATACTTGAGCTGAGATAACAAGGATATGATAAAGTAGAAGTACCCAATTTTTGTGTTGGATTCTGCTCTATTTGCATCAACTGTCCATAATGCTAACTTGTCCCCTTTGCCTCGAATGTTAACCACTGCTCCGCATACATCATCACTTTGTTCATCAAAGGCCTCCCCGATCAAACACAGTAACTGAAAAATAGAAACATTGCTTAAAGTTATCATGAAATTGTACTTTTCAATGTCTTAGGTAATCTGTTAAAAAGATTTAAGCACTGACAATCCTTGGCAATATCATATTTCCAAATATACATGATGGTTTTGTTTTTTTGTTGAGTGCCTCAAACTTCAGTTGTTCTATTGCTCACCAACATTCAATGAGTATAACTTACATGTACACAGATCCTAATGTATCAAGAACTGTATCAATTTAACTATTTAGCAAAAGAGTTACAAATGTGCTGCCTTAAATCTCGAAACTCTAAAATGTAAACGTAAAATCAACACCGTCACTTTCAGCAATGATGACTACAAATTTCAACTGGTGTGACCGTAAACTTACCGTTTCCAGCCAAAAATTATCAAGATCTGTATGTCTCTGTTGTTTGTTGAGACTAATAAGCCAGCGGCCACCATTCTTATTGCGAGAATCTTCCCATGCCGGCTGTATTCCTTCCTATTTATATAAGACACAGACATCAGTTTTCACATGTAGCAGTATCATTGAAAACCAGGGGCCATAGCCCTGTAGCTCACCTTCATATGTAGCCAACAGTTAAAAAAAACAATAGAGAGACACTTACAAAAGTTGCTATCACCACTGATATTCAAGTGTTATTTACATCAATACTAATAGCAAACACTAAATCTACAAACGAACTCAACACAATACGGTGTCATGACAAGGAGAAACAAAATGCAAAATGTGTCGAAGCATTGACCAAAAATAGCTTTTTCAATATGGTTGCTGTGGTAGCCAAATTGATAATGGAATTCAACCACTTAAAAAACATTCAGGGGTCATCATGACTACATGTTAAATTACAGCTTTATTGGTACAGTAGTTTCTGTGGAGTGATGACTACAGTTTGAGACAAGCTCATAAATTTGTCCATAAATTTTCAGCTTTCAGTATGGTTGATGTGCAAAGGTCAAATCCAAGTCAAAACATAAAATATCACCAAACGAAATGCAGAACATATATGTTTGACCCCAAGTACTATCTACAGATGCACCAAATGTCATTCCACTTGGCTTGTGAAAGGCCAAAATAAGTGAAATCTAAAGAGTTTGTACATTTGTATACTTATCCTGCATTACTCTTTAATGCATTTACTGCTGTGTTTTGACAGAGACGGAGCTGTGAGAGATCAAGCTGCAGAAGAAGTTGTTCCAACTAGTTGTGTGGCAAATATCCTCACACAGCTGCAACATGAACCCAGAAGTGGAGACGTCTTGAATGAGCACATTACTGCTTGAACATAACATCTGAAGACTTCATGGGGATACACCACGGCCATTGGGAGGGCACTTAGATGAAGTAATGGAGGATAAGTATACAAATTTAAAAAATACTTAATTTTTACCTAATTTTTTAACTTATCCTGCATTACTTCTGCATGGATCTTTATCAGACGGAGGGGGGCATACCTTCAGATGTGATCCTCAGTCTGGGGTGACAAAAACCAGAGAGGTCAAAAGGACAGCTCTGGGCATCGGTAAGAGTAAATGGCATTTGGGGTTGGTGACCTGCCGGGTAACAACCAATGGGCAAAAGCTGTGAACGCCCTCCATGTCCTCTAAGGCTACATCTCTCCGGTAGTGGCTGGCAAAGACTGTGTCAGGACTCCAAAAGAAACCTTCCATGATGGATCAGACAGACGTCTGTCTGCGAGGGTCATGGAAAACCGAATGACGGTCGTCTTCTGGCACCACTAGGATCCTTGGTGTATCTGTGAGATAACAGCTCAGTGCACGAACCGGGCATGGAGTTCTTGCTCGTCTTCGGCACCCACTTTCGAAGAAAGACGTGGGATGATGAAGGAGTGGTCTGGCTACCCTGGGAATTGATTTTTGGCTATGAAATCACAGCACTCACATTTTATATAGGTGGCGCTAAAGGTCTCGTTACTCCGCATGTAGGCATCAGAGGTCTTCTGAAATTAGTGATTCGGTCACATTGAAGTAAGCATAAGGCTTCTGATCGAGAGGTTACATCATTTAGTACAAGCAAGCTTCCAAACCAATCTGTCCAAATACACTGCACGGCTAACATTAGGTCAGTTGACCTAATTCCAGTCGAAGATTTTTACAAGAGTTCTTGACATGCAACATTTAAATCACCTTCAAAGTACCGGTAATCTAGAATCCCGCATTTAGTCGGATATGAGGTTCACGCTCCACAAACGGACAATCCCCTGTGAACTGTGTGGTAGACAGACAAGTGGTCAAAATGATCACTATGATATTTGTGACGCCTTGTCCTGAACTCTCAACAATGATCCCGAGAGGTGGGTAACCGGTAGCCTATGACAAATTAGTCAAGTGGCTAATCAATCTTGAATATTGATGACCTACAAGATTTGGTACAGATGATGTCTGAAACCAAGGAATCTTAAACACCGGTGATGAAGATAATATCGCAAAATCTTCGTCCAAAGCTGAAACCAGATCCTTCAGCATCGGATCCAGCATAATGGGGGTGGGCTTGGCGTCTCGTTTATGCATGCCCTGGCCGGGTGATGGAGTAATGGTGGCCTAACAGGACTGACGGCAGACAGGGTAACAAAAAGTACCATCTGTTAACGTCTTTTGGTATGACACAGACGGGGATCAAACCACTGACCTAGCTCTCCGGTCAGACACTTTACAACGAGACCACTGAATTGGATCCTTCATCCAGTCAGGGACTTGGTTACGGCTTAGATGTGTGTCCTTCTCAGGGGAAGATTCGTCTTACTTAGGCACAAAAGAGAATTCAGACGAAATCTAGTGGAATCCATATGATCAGCCTGCAGTACCTTCAGCACTCCTTGATATCACCTGTCATAATTTAAAAAAGAAGACTGTAACACATGAAGATGCACTTGCCGGAAATATGGTCTCACTTGCAATGCTGTGTGTGTGGAATACCATGGTACAAGCTGTACCAATAAACAGTTACCTGACTTCTCAGGGGATGACAAACCAAATATTGGTATTTGGTGGTTATATTGAATTTCTGCAAATGAACTGCATGTACTCATCGACTTCAAATGGGTCAAACTTGTTTCCAGTAAGAATTTACATGATTGAAAACAAAACTTGTTATAGCATTTATTGTCATGTTGTAGGTAGATTCAGACAATAACAATCAACATTGATATCTAAACTCGCTAAAATTTGTCAATTATGAGATAAATATTCATATTTGGAGGTTATATTGGATTTATTCAAATGATTGAGTATTCTACATGCATCCCTGTATCTGTTTACCCCAATGTAGAAGTTCAAATCACTTAAATATGTCATCAGAGACCAACAGTGTATTGATATTCTATGTCTATCTAGCCATCAAACTCTTGGCAGCCATCTTGGAATTTTGGGCCTCCAGGGAGCTCTGGTGACGGAGTTTCTATCGAAAAGTGTTGACTGTACTTCAGTGAGTTAGTGTGCCAAGTTATATGCACATGACTCCTAGCACACTGTTTTAGAGTTAAAAGATTCAACAGTGTAAACACACATTTAGGAAACTTGTTGGACATCTTGAAATTGGCAGCCATCTTGAATTTTTACAGATTTGTTAATAGTCGAAAACGTTCTGTAGTTGTGAATATCTTATAAGAAACATAATATGGCTATTTCGCAATACAACAAATGCCTTTTTAACATCAAAACATTGAACCGCATCTGATTTGGTTGGTTGGTTTGTTGTTTAACGCCGCATTCGGCAATATTCCATCTATAAGAAGGCGGTTGAACCTCATCTGAACTATGAAGATATATTGAAAATTGGTGGCCATATTGGATTATGCAAATTAGACATATTTCCCAAACTGGGATTGCTTGATACTTTTTGTATGTTGTTTTTGGGACTTGTAGAAATTCATTGTGGTGAAATAAATTCTGTTGCAATTTGTTCCAAGTTGAGTGAAAAAATGGCCTAGATTGCCTGGACTAAGGGAACGCTGATATTAATGAGATGATGAGAGGAGAAGTGAGTCGTTCCCTGATTACAGAGGCACCATACCACGGTGATATTGTCCGTGGATATGGTGATCCGAGCATCTGCTTCCAGTGAGACAAAGCCTCGATGAAGCACTTCTATTCTAGTTCGAGGTTGTTGATATGCCACTGTTAAGTGGTGGACCACAGCTCCAAGACAACTTGAGCCTCCTGATGTGCTCCCGAGCCTTGAGGGAGGCGTTTACGAACAGGTGTAAGCAGGTCGTGAGCTCTGTCAAGGAGACACCATTAAAGACATTCGACTCCACCGTCCACCAACGGAAATGTGGTCCTGGCGCCTGATGTAAGGAGCGAGGACACTTGCATTGAGTGGAGCTCAAGCTGTCCCCTGATGTGAGGAGACCCAGGAGCACCTACCTTTGTCCGAGAGTGTGCAGTTGTTGTACAGTAGATGGCGCAGTCCGTCTGAAAGCGGCCTTCAATAAATTGGAGATGGTATGCAGGTGGGAGCTCCGATATCCGGACATTGATAATCCAGCCCAACTGATCGTCCCATAGTGTCATCCCCGTGGCGGATTAGTGTGGCCATGTCCTGGTTGTTTAGGAGGCAATCGTTGATGTAAGCCTCAAACTGGACACCCCTCAGGTCGAGGTCGGTGGCTACCACCTTCGTAATGCCTGTAAATAGCCACGGGGCCGAAGAAATTCCAAATGAACCATTGATAGTTGACTCCCTTGAAGAATAAGCAGAGGAATTTCATTAAGTTGGGGTGGATTGGTACATGCAGGTAAGCATAGATGGCTAGGCTGATCAGGGCATATGGGGCTTGATCTTGGATCTGAGTAGCCGGAGAGTAGACATCCGTAAGTACAGTAAGCACCAGATAGCGCTTGTTGAAAGTCGCCAAGTTGTGAATCAGTAAGGATACGAATTTATGGATGAACAACTTCTTTATTACAATTAAGAGCAACGTTTCAGTGTAGGTTCTAACACCTTTATCAAGCGCTGTGTCTGCAATGTTCAATGCATGGATGAGAAAGTCCTCTTTCCTATATTTAGGAGCCTTAAAGCCTGTTGTCAAAGAAAGTTTGGCAAAACCCTCGCTGAGATCATATCCATGATCAAGGGCTTAGGTGGAACTCAGGTAGGATGGGACCACAGAGTGTCCAGTCTATTAACCTCAGCGCCACTGCTGCCAGACAATCTACCAAACAGTTGGAGATGGAGCCCTCATAAGAAGGGATGAAGGAGCCCTGTGAGGTACTCTCGACAGTATCATACTGGACCACTACTGGAGGATCTACTTCCACTACGCCTCGAAGTAGGAGATGTCGAACAAGGGAAGGTGGGGTGATATGGGGTTTAACGTTGCGTCCAAGATTATTTCACTTATATAGCGATGTGCATGCACGTGTGTGTTTGGTTACTTGTACTAGTCTGGACTGATGCCGATTTATAGAGATACCATGCCACAGATTAACATGAATACCCCATTCAGAAACTATACTGATTCCAAACCGACCTGTCCTTGTTTTAGCCTCTTAATGCTGAGCGCCAGACAGGGTAACAAATACCATCTGTTAATATCTTTTGGTATGGTCAAACCCTGGACCTTTCGCTCTCCGGGCGAATGCTCTGCCACTTATCAACTGAGGCGGTACCAAACCAAGGGAAGGGCATGTGACAGGGGTGCCGCAAAGGTCCACAGGAAAAGCCGAGGACTCGAGGTGTATCTAGACACAGGTTGCTGAAACATCATACTTTGAATGAAGCTTTTGAGTAAGTGAGTATGGTTTTACGCCGCTTTTAGCAATATTCCAGCAATATCACGGCAGGGGACACCAGAAATGGGTTTCACACATTGTACCCATGTGGGGAATCGCACCCGGGTCTTCGGCGTAACAAGCAAACACTTTAACCACCAGGCTACCCGGGGCACCTGAAGCTTTGGAACCAGGTTGCTTCCATGTAATGTGGCGCCTGGAGTGTCGCTGCCACGGGCGCCGTGGAGAACTGGTATGACGCCTGAACGGTGACAGGATGAGATTGAGTCGGAGGGCAGGAGGTAGCAATTGTCCCTGCTGAGGATACGGGCGTGGGGGTAAACGCTGGAGGAGGTAGAAGCAAATGGTTGGGTGGGGAGGCAGGTTTGGCCGAGTTGGACATTCTTAATAAAGAGTGAGGCTGTTTCCGAGTCTGCTGGGTCTTCTCTTTCCTGGACACCTGTAGGTATTTGGAGAAAGCAGTACAAGGAGCTGACAATCTTTGCACCTAGCAGTCGGGGCACAGATGGTGGTGCAATTGAGACATAAAAGGTGCGGGTCCCACCCAGACTTATTCCTGTGACACTTGCTAAAGGGGGCATGTATCTGCAATGAATGTGTTCCCACCCATTTATAAATAAAGTTTATGCAACACAAAAAAAAACAGTTAAATAATAATTATAATAATAATAAGCCCACAGCGACATTTGCTAAGATATTGGCTAGTGAACAATCCCAATTAGCACCCCTTCCGATTGATCAATGTACACAAGACTTATTTATTCGCGTATAATACACACTTGTGTGTTATATGCACCCTTAATTATGGGCATTTAATTCTGGAAAAATATATCTGTCGTACATAAACATTTCAGGCTGTCAGCATAAACCACAAAATTTATCTTTCAACTGTTTTTTTTCACCAAAATAATATTCTAATAAGAGCCCCCTATTTCTAATTTTGAGACCGCCCTGGGCGCTTATTACGTTGAATACGGTAATAATAATTATAATAATAATAATAATAACAATATCGCTAAGGTATGCCAATAAATTGCAATACCAAGCAATACAATGAATACAGAACACATGACACGTCAATACATGACCACGATGTGAATTCAAGATGGCCAGTTGGAACAACAATGCGTCTGATAATTACTGTGGTAAACACAACACCAGACAATAAATTTTAATTTGAAAAGTCACAAACCGTAGGCACAATAATAATTCACAATAAATAACAATAGAGTAGCCAATACTCAAAGGATTCAATTAGCTAATACTGAGACACAAAAACAGGTCTTGTCTCTGGGCTTGACTGCAGTAATGTGCTGTTCAGTGACGTCATTACTTCCAGGGTCACGTGGGAGCTGTGTGATAGGGTTAGCCACACAACCAGTTGGAACAACTTCTTCTTCAGCAAGACCTCTAACATGCTCTTTCTGTCAAAAACAAGCAGTAAATGAACTAATGAGTAATGCAGGATAAGTTAAGAAATTAGTAATTTTGAACAAAACTGGCCATAAGAAGAGATTCCATTGTGATTCCATTGTGATCCAGGTCAAACGTAAAATATTGGGAAAAAAACCAGAACATACACGTTGTGAGTGAGTGAGTGAGTTTGGTTTAACGCTGCTTTTACCAGTATTCCAGTCATATCACTGCTTGTCAGTTTAATGTGGGAGGAAAGCCTGAAGTGATGCAGGCCCCAGATGTTTACCACTTCAGTGAAACCCACAGGTATGGTGCTGACAAACCTAGAAACATAATCGGGGTGAACCAGGAGTCGAACCCACAATCATAGGTTTCTGGCGTGCCCAAGGGACGCAACTCTGCACAGCGAATCACAGTGCCTTAGATGACTGGGCCACCGTGCCCCCACATACATGTTGACCCATTCTACCTATTACACATGCACCAAATGTCATTACATTTTTTACATAAAAAGGACCCTGTAATGACCATAAACAGGGAAGCCTTTATGGTTACATTGAAAATCAGACTTGAAACTCTTCAGCAAAATACAGTTGTCACGGCCCAGTTGTGGGACCAAGCATGTGAAGTTTCAGCTTTATTGGTCAAGTGGTTTGCGAGGAGATGATACGTACGCCGGATGATGCATGCCAAACAAACAAGCCGAAAGATAAATTTCGTGGTTTATACTGACAGCCTGAAATGTTTATATACGAGAGATCCTTTTTTCGGAATTTAACTGCCCATTATTAAGGATTCATATAACAAACGAGTGCGTATTATACGCGAATAAATAAGTCTTGTGTACACTGATCAATCGGTAGGGGTGCTAATTGGAATTGCTCACTAGCCAATCTATTAGCAAATATCGCTGTGGGCGCTTATTAGAGCGGGGCGCTTATTACGTCGAATACGGTAATCTTTTTCTGTCATCTCGGAAAACGGACTCATTTACAGTCTAAGCCTCAATTTTTAGGTGTAAGATCATTGAATTACTAAGAAAACATAGCTGTCCCTCTTTCAGTGGTCCCATAGATGGACCCCAACATTACCTTAAACATGGAATAGTCACAGCCCGGAGGCAACTTGCTGGCTTTCTGTACATGGTTGTACAACCTGGAAAGAAGATGATAGGGGCGATAAAACAATGTATTTCGTCAAAATATCATGCTTACCTTGATTACAAGGTAACAATACAATGCATGAACAAAAGGAAAACTGAAAATACACAATAATCTAGATATTTGCATGCACCTGCAAAAACAGAAGCAGATCCTTCACTGCTATTTTTTCTCAAAGTCCTAAAATACCACTGAGTACTTCCCATCCAAAGACAATTATTTCCAAACCTTGACACTAATCAAGGCACCTTCTAAAGATCCAACTGTTACCCTGTCTCAGGAGGGTACAAATAAATATGCAACCGTAACCAGCAATGAAAAACAACACTTGTGACTCCCGTTGGCACAGTTAGGACACAGGTTTATCAAGAGAAAATGTTTACTGGTGGCAGGGAGCAACCCTTAAGAAAAACAACAAACAGTAAAGATCTTTTCACTGGGCCTCTGAAGTGTCTATGCAGGGCCTTTTGTTGATATTTATCTAAATATTAAGAATGTTTCTGAAGAATCTTACAAATGCACTCTTGTCTTAACATAAAGATAAAGAGAACACAACATAACACAATTGCAGTAAACATTTACTGATTTTATTAAGACACAAACATCACTTTAGTACAGAAATTTGTTTCCATTGTGAGAAACAAGTGGCTTTGTAACAACCCTTAACGTAAAAAATACTCTTAATGTAAAAATATTTGACATTAAGGGTTGAAGTGATAGATAATAAAAAAATTTACGGTAAAGGTTACCACTATGAAATAATACTTATCAAACTTTCATGAAACGTCGCAGATTTAATTGATCGTTACTTTGTCAAGATGTGCAAATGACTAACCATTTTTAGATTCCCTCTCTACAACGACCACCTGGTTGTTATGTTCAGGCTTCATAAAAGGGTTTATGACTCCTAACCCTTTTAACCGAATTTGATCAAACTTACTGTTTTACAAAGGCTATTTTTCGCTACTCTGCAAGGTAACCTCATTACTATCCTAATACCGTAACGACGGAAAGGAGGACTCAGCGCAGGCAGATCAGACCAAGTTGTAGATGATGGTGGGTTGTTAGAATGGTCCATTAACAGAGTTTTAGGCATAAAACAATGGACATTTTGTTGCAGTATTACGGATATGACAGTTAAGCAGACACCAGAATCATATGCTATTACAAACAACTGGAATTCAAATGCAATGATGTTTGGTTTAAAAAAAACCTGAAGGTTTCCCAAGTACCGTGCCGAGTCAAATATAGCCACTAAAGTTTATATTTTTCGGATATGAAGTCTATACCTTTTCTATAGCAACTTAGCAGATCAGGTAGTAAGACATGGATTGCGAATAGATTTCTCATGACAGATGACGCACACCGTACAAAGACGGATGGCATTACGTCACATAAGCCTTTTGGACATGTTGTATGTATGGATAAAAATTAAGCTAAAACTTGCCTTAGATGGCTATAACATAGAAAAATTTACAAAAAGTGGTATTCATTTTCAATATGGTTTAGGTTACAAACTTTAAATTTTCTAAATTCACCAGGAATATTGAAATGTCATCCACGTTCAATTTCTAAATTGTGAGAACTGAGCCAAAAACGAGTCAATGTGGTCCTGAATTTATTTACAGTTATACTACTCAAATAGTTCTCACATGAAATGGATGTTTTAAACTGTGCATAATAAGAGATTTGGGGGCTTTCGCATAGATCACAATGCCAAACCTGAAAAAAATGTTTTAACCGCTGATGTAACATATTAAAAAATGTGGTTTTATTACCACATGTCTGAAAGCACCAGACATCACCAAATCCTAATCTGAAAATATCAGTTTTAAGTTTCGTTATCCAATTTACGTGGCCTTGATCATCGTACAAATGCACCATATTGTAAAATTTTGGGGGGTAAATGAGATTCCTGCATATTATAAAGAGAAAGCCAATATTTGACACATTTCAAAACAGCTAGCGACTTAATAGAACATCTGCCAGACTCGGTTCTATGTCACTGAACCCCAAATTTCAGCCCCGTATGAAAGTATTGGTGTTATGTTTGTAATAAAACATTTGAAGTAAAAGTGAGGCGAGTATGGTTTCAAGGAATGTATACTTATTAACAGGACCATGAACACCTTTCTTGCCTGTAATTGCAATATTATTTAAGCAATCGACCTCAGTAATCTATTGCTACAATATAAGCCAAGATAACTGTATCCAGTAACTACTTCATACGTATTTCCACCATAATACCATTTTTTTCGTGATAAACCTCCCCTACTTTTGAAAAACAACTATTTTTGTTTTTGATAGACTGGCATTTTCCCATTTACAACAGTCATCATGCATGATATTCAACTTCATTTGTATGTTGTTGACAGTATTGCCAAACACAATAAGGTCTTCCGCAAATAGAACCGAAAAATATAAATAAATTCCAGATGTTACTTAACACCAAAGCGACAATTTTGTTCCATTTCAGTAACCAATTCGTTTATAAAAAAAACCTGAAACAAAAAGGGACAAAGCATACACCCTTGCCCCACACCCATGAGTGAGTGAGTGAGTGAGTGAGTGAATACGGTTTTACGCCGCTTTTAGCAATATTCCAGCAATATCACGGCGGGGGACACCAGAAATGGGCTTCACACATTGTACCCATGTCGGGAATCGAACCCGGGTCTTCGGCGTGACGAGCGAACGCTTTAACCACTAGGCTACCCGACCGCCCCTCCCCACACCCATGAAGCAACAAATATACCAGATACTCTGTTGTTTGAACAAACACAAGCCTTTACATTACTGTACATGGATTTAACATTTTACCCATTCTAGCACTCAAACCATGTTTGTACAATGGCTTCCATAGACGTCACCAAGGCCACCTTATTTATTATGTTTCTTGGCATTGATGCTTTCAAAAAGTTCTGATCTGGTGATTGGGGATTCTAATATGTCAATTGTCAGTTCTTACACATAACCTTGACATGTCACTACGTCCTCCACCTCACCAAGATTATCCTGAATACCCATTGGTTCACAATTTAGCGATGAGAAATAGTTCCCCCCAAACTTTTGTATATCAATAGGGTTGGATTATTGCGCTCGTCCAGACACACACTTTATGATGTCCCAGAAACGTTTAGAGTCTACCGCTGCTGCATTTTCTAGGTCACTCCTTTTACATTGTGCAAACCGGTCCTTCTTGATACCACACAGTTATCTGTATTCATTGCAAACTTTGTTATACTTAATAAGGTGTTAGTTATCTTTAGTTTCTTCTGAACGCATTTAAATAATGGCACCGTTCATATTTTTTACAGACATTCATCATCATCGGGGAACATGTCACTCGATACTAAACCATAACACTATCACACTACACCCTAAATGTCCAATAGGGGGCACAGGTGGCCCAGCCATCTAAGGCGCCACGATTCGCTGTGCAGAGTTGCGTCCATTGGGCACGCCAGAAACCTATGATTGTGGGTTCGACTCCTGGTTCGCCCCGATTATGTTTCTAGGTTTGTCAGCACCATACCCGTGCTCGTGGGTTTCACTGAAGTGGTAAACATCTGAGGCATGCATCACTTCGGGCTTTCCTCCCACATTAAGCTGACAAGCAGTGATATAACTGGAATACTGTTAAAAGCGGCGTTAAACCCAACTCACTCACTCACTAAATGCCCAATACATGTACAGTCACCGATTCCAAATCTTTCATTCACAATGTGTATGTTCAGAATTGAACACATTTTCAAAAGAGTTTTTCCAAAGTTATTTAGTAATTTATCCCATGAATATCTTTCCATCTGAAATTGTGTAAAAAAATCTACTAATTATTACTTTCAACATGGTGAGTAACATCTTTCTCCACATAGTCCCGTGTCACATCAGTTCTGCTGTTCATGTACAATGGACCCGTGAAGATCCGGGGTAGAATAGGCCTTCAGCAACTCATTCTTGTCGTAAGAGGCAACTAACGGGATCGGGTGGTCAGACTCGCTGACTTGGTTGATGCATGTCATCATATCCAAAATGCGTGGATCGATGCTCGTGATGTCGACCACTGGATTGTCTGGTCCAGACTCGATTACAGACCGCCGTCATATAGCTGGGTGCGGCGTTAAACAACAAACAAACAAATTCAAGTACAATGATAGAGACATCTGGGTACTCTTCCAGTGTACTCAATAAAAAATACAGCAAAATCTCTACCCCATTTTGTCCATCTTTGTTATCATACTAGGTCGATCTATCCGGCTGAATATATGTAAACACACATAATGTAGCTCTAATGAAACCAAACATACTTTCTCCAACAGAATAGTAATAGCATGTTCTCTGTATCGAACATCAAAAACATATCTTAACTGTGAATATTTTATCAAAAAGTATTCCTTCCAAATACCTCCAGAATTTGGACCTTTTTGTGGCTGGTAAACAAAAAAGTTTATACTCTGGAAAAATGTCACTAAAGTAATTTTCTATTGACTATGTTTCATATAAAGCAACAATGTCATGTTCAGATACAAAAGAAACAAAGCCAATGTCTGACAGTTGTTGGTTAAATCTTCTATATTCCTTGCAATGTAAGATATGCTTTTGCATAACCTTTGACTCTGACGGCAGCACCCGCTCCTGATCCACAGTTGACGATGTTCCACTTGAGTCACGATCTGCGCCTGGAGCCTAGTACTAGAGTAGTAGCTGGCATGTCGAGTCTGCCATTCTTATAATAGCCCCTCTTGTTCTCAGATCTGAGCAAAGTCAGTTTCTCACGCTGTCGCTTATTACGAATAATTGCAAGAAAACGAGCAAAAAGAATAAAAAACATGAAAATAGCAAAAAGTATCCTATGTTTCCAATCAAACTTTGTTGATAAGAATATTTTCACTAAGGGGTGATATGTGCGATTTTAACCCTAAATGTAAAAAAAATATTCTTTACATTAAGGAGTTAACACGTAACCCTTAATGTAAAATTATTTACATTAAGAGT